GGGGGGGGTGCTCCCTGGAGAAGCCTCTGTTAGCTCTTTGGCCTCAGTTTCCCCATCCTTGGTGCTCCCACCACGTCCCAGCCTGGGTGGGGTCTCTTCCCTGCTCCTCGGGGTCTACGTCTGCGCCGACCCACCCGCGGGGCCGTGCTGCCCTGCGTGGCCCGGCTGTCTCGCGGCTGTCGGCCTCTTTTCTGCCAGCCTCCTCGCATCGAGGACGGGCTGGTCCACCTGGGCTTTGTAAGACCTGTAAGAGGCGGGGCATTGGCAGCCCAGGGAATGGCTTGCCTGAGGCTAGAGGTGGGATTTGAACCGGCCAGGTAGTGGCTGGAGCTGGTTGGAAAGACAGGAGGGATGACGGAGAAGCCATGGATGATTCCAGACCCCCCAGATGAAACGGGGGTGCCTGTTTTGGACAAACTGGGGGGATTTGGGAGCTACCAAGGCCTGGAGAGTGGAGGCAGGGAGCGGGTGTCCTCTGAGCCCCTGGAGACAAGGATGGCCACGGGGGAGGAGAACGGGCAGCACTCCAGGAGTCCCAAAGGAGAGATGCCGTGAGCTCAGTGCGGGGGCCCTCGCACCTCCAGCTCCCCAGGGCTCCTGCGGGCCTGTGACTCAGGTTTTCTGTGCTGCTGTCGATGGGGGAAAAAAACCCCGAAGAAAACCCTGTTCCCATAGCAACGCAGCTTTAATTAGAGACTCCAAGGCCAAGCGGGGCCTTTCCCCAGCTGGGCAGGGCCTGGGAGCCAGCAGGGGCCCTGCTGGACAGGGGGACAGGGGAGACGACGCCTTTCCCCCTCTCGGTGGGGGTGGGAGGACCTGGTGTCTCCTCGGCTCCGGCCCCCAAATCCTTTCAATATCCTGGCAGAGTAGAGGGGCTGGACTCTTTGGCAGGTAGGGAAACTGAGGCAGAGTGAGGCAAAGGCACTAACCCAAAGGTACCTGGACCCTTACGGTGGGTCAAACCAGTTTGAGGACGAACCCAACAGGCTAATGGGGCTTGAGTGACTGTGGATGGTGGCAGGTGGGGACGAGGTTGGTGTGAATTTCAGGGAACTGCTGGAGGGGCGTGCTCCTCATTCTCCGACTCAAAAAAAAGTCTCTTTATGGAAAATGAGCCCCTGACTTCATGCATTTGTCCCAGGCGGGCTGGTGGCCCGTGTCTACTTTCTTTTTTTTTTTGAGTCAGCACACTTACGGCCACCACAGCCTCGACCTCCTGGGCTCAGGCAATCCTCCCGCCTCAGCCTTCCAGGTAGCTGGAACTGGAGGCATGCGCTACCACGCCCAGCTAATTTTTGATTTATTGTAGAGACGAGGTCTCGCCAAGTTGCCCAGGCTGGCCTCGACCTCCTGGGCTCAGGCAGTCCTCCCGCCTCGGCCTTCCAAGTAGCTAGAACTACAGGCGTGGTTGCCCAGGCTGCCCTCAAACCCTGGGCTCAGCAATCCTCTTGCCTCGGCCTCCCAAAGTGCTGAAATTACAGGCTTGAGCCACCACGCCCAGCCTTCCTGGCTGGGGAGAATGAGCCCTCAACCCTTGGCCAAACTGCTATGGCGCTTCTGTTCCACAGCCCCCTTCCCTCCCGCTGTGCCCTCTTTTGGGGAGTCTGGAACCACCTCCCTGCCTTCCACTGCTGGGGAAGACCCGTTCCCCTCCTTCCCTGCATCAGCTGCCCCGGCACAATTGGGCAGGTGGTGTCCCGTGGCTGGGACAGGCTGTGGCCCACAGGACTGCTTTTCCCGGAGCAGGGTGTGGCCGCCCTGCCAGACAGACTCCCCCCCTCCATACCTTTCTGGGCAGAATGAGGGGCAGGGAGGGCAGCTGGCGGGGTGTGGCTGCCCCCCCCCCGTGGGTTCCCTCAGCGGAGACGCAGGGTGGGGCGGGTCAGCCACTCCATGGCGGCGAAGAGGGGCCTCTGCCCCAGTCGTGCTCCCTGGGGGCTGGCCCTAGGGTGGTCCCGGCACCCACAGCCAACACCTGCCTGCCGTCCCCTTCTGGTGCTCGGCTGGGCGGAGTGTGGGCTCCAGCTCACCACCAGGACCCTGGCAGACCCAGAGGGTGGAGCCCAGGGGGTTCCCAGAGGGGCGAGGGCAGGGTGGGCTGGGGTCAGAGGGCGCACAAGAGGGCGGCCCACCTCCCTCCCGAGAGCCACCGGGACCCCTTTGTGTCTCACCATGTGACCTGAGGCAAGGACATGCCACCTCCAGCCTCAGTCTCCCTCTTCGTGAATTGGAGCGACGGTCCCCACCCTGTAGTGCTGATGTGGGGACACATGGTAGGATTAGGGGGGCGCTGACACCCTTCAGCCCCTCGGGGTGCCCCCTCCCCTCTTTCCAGTCAGCCCCTGCAACTTACCTGGCCATTTCAGTTCCCTCCTCTGTCCTCACCCAAGCTATTCCCCGGGCCCAGAACGCCCTACCTCTCAGGGAGAATCCTTATCCATCCTGTGGACTAAAGATGGGAGGTCCGGGGGGGTCAGACGCCGTGGTGTGTGCCTGCAGTCCCGGCGCTTTGGGAGACTGAGGAGGAAGGAATGCTTGAGGCAGAGAAGCTTGAGACCAGCCTGGGCAACATAGCGAAACCTTGTCTCCATAAAAGATAAAAAAAAATTCAGCCAGGTGCAGTGGCCTGCGCCTGTAGTCCCAGGTACTCAGGAGGCTGAGGGGGGGAGGATCACTTGAACTCAGGAGGTCGAGGCTGCAGTGAGCCGTGACGGATTGTGCCACGGTACTGCAGCAAGGGTGACAGAGTGAGACCCTGACTCCAAAAAAACCCAAGAACTGAGAATAGGACCTTGGGGTGTAGGATTCACCGCCCACCAGCCTCCTCTGTTCTGTGGGTGATGTCTCCACCCACCACTGGGGTCCCTGCTGCATGCAGGTGCCCAAAGGATGACACACTCGCCAGGCAAGCCGGCACAGAGCCGGCAGGCACCCTGCTGCTGCTTGCAGTCCTTGGAATCCGGGGCCCTTGGGGAATGCAGATTTGGAACGAAGCAATCCCCGCCCGGGTTTCAGTGGGAGGAACCGTGTGGACACGGAGGCAATGTGGTAGAACCACCCTGCTGCAGCGTGGGGGGCGAAACCTTGGGGCCACCTTAAGTATTTTGATGACGTGTGGACACAGTCACATCGGATTCTTTAGTGACGTGGAAACGTGTTTCTGCTGTGAAGAATGCGGTTTGCAGATCCAGACAGAGCAGCATATGTCTTCCTTCCTTCCTTCCTTCCTACCTTCCATTTGTCCATCCGCATCAGAGTCTCATTCCATCACCCAGACTGGAGTGCAGTGGCCGCTCCCGGCCACCGCAGCCTCGACCTGCTGGTCTCCGGCGGTCCTTCCGCCTCAGCCTTCCAAGTAGCTGGAACTACAGGTGCCAGGAGTTCGAGGCTGCAGTGAGCTATGATTGTGCTACTGCATTACCAGCCTGGACGACAGAGTGGGACCTTGTCTCTTGGATAAGTAACTGTAAGAAAAAAGACGGGAGTGGAATATGCACCTACACGGTGTCCCGTGGTGAGCTGTGTGGGCTGTATCTGGCCTGGTGTTCGTGCTCCCGTGAGCTTTCCAAAGGAAGGGAACATGTGCTGTTCTGTTTTGCTCTTTGAGCTTCTGCACAAAGACATAAACCCCTGACATCGACCCCCACACACACCCGGATGCGATGCCCCGCTGCACTGGCTCTGTTTGTCCTTTCCGTCATCGTTTTTGGTTGTATTTAAAGCAAATCCCTGACATCAGAATGTTTCATCCCAAAATACTTCCATCTGTATCTTGAAAAAAATTAGGCCATTTTCTTACATAACCACAGCGTGATTAGCAGCAGTCAAACCCCTCAGATGGAATCCTGCGTTGGAGAAGATTCTCCATTCTCAAGAATGTCCTTTGTGCATTTGGTTTGTTCAACCCTGTTACTTTTTTTTTTTTTTTTGAGTTGGGGTCTCATTTTTCGCCCAGACTGGGGTTCGGTGACGTGACTGTGGCTCAGTGCAGCTTCTACCTCCTGAGCTCGGGCGATCCTCCCTCCTCAGCCTCTCAAATCTCTGGGACTGTAGGCGCCGCACCACCATGCCTGGCTGATCAAGGTCTTACTGTGTTGCCGAGGCTGGGCCTGTTACTTCTATTCAGGGAGGTGTCCTGCTGGTCACCGTGGCCACTACCTGCTGCCTCTGAGGCACCACTGGGGGGGTCTCAGCAGCCCCTGGCCCTCACACACATGCCCGTGTGTGTTTGTGTGTGTTTGTGTGTGTGTGTGAGAGGTGAGGGCCATGGCAGCCAGAACCCGAGGGCGTGGCCCTGTAGCTGCTTGGCCTCCTCCCCAGGTATGGACCTGTCGGCCAATCAGGACGAGGAGACCGACCAGGAGACCTTCCAGCTGGAGATCGACCGCGACACCAAAAAGTGTGCCTTCCGCACCCACACGGGCAAGTACTGGACGCTGACGGCCACCGGGGGCGTGCAGTCCACCGCGTCCACCAAGTGAGTGCCGTGCAGTCCACCCGTCACCCCCTCGCTCGCCCAGGGTGGCTCTGCCTGACCCTGTCCCGCCCCCCCCAGGAATGCCAGCTGCTACTTTGACATTGAGTGGCGTGATCGGCGCATCACACTGCGGGCGTCCAATGGCAAGTTCGTGACCGCCAAGAAGAACGGGCAGTTGGCGGCCTCGGTGGAGACAGCAGGTAGCCGCCCACGCGTGTGCCCCAGGCTCTGGCTCCCCGTGCTGCCCGGGCGCTGCAGGGTCTGGCCACCCCTCGGTCGCTGGGCGCCCGGCTGAGGCCTGCTCCCTCTGTGCTGGGCATCCCCCAAGCCGGCCTTGCCCTGTCCCCCGGGCTGGCTGCCGTGTGACCCCCTCCCCTAGCTCCCCCTCTCCGGTTGCCCCACCTCGCCCCCTGCCAGCAGGCTCACGGCCCCGCCCCGCTTCTCGAACAGGAGACTCGGAGCTCTTCCTCATGAAGCTGATCAACCGCCCGATCATCGTGTTCCGCGGGGAGCACGGCTTCATCGGCTGCCGCAAGGTCACGGGCACCCTGGATGCCAACCGCTCCAGCTACGACGTCTTCCAGCTGGAGTTCAACGACGGCGCCTACAACATCAAAGGCAGGTTCTCCCAGGCGGTGGCTGGGCAGAGCCCTCGATGGGGCACGGGTGTCAGGGTTGCAGGGGGCGCCCCGCCCGGCTCTGGCTTTGGCCTCAGCCTGGGCACCCTGCGACTCGGCTCAGGGACGGAAGTCCTACAGAGCCGGGCTCGGTGGCTCAGCCTGTCATCCCGCACCTTGGGAGGCCGAGGTGAGTGGATTGCCTGAGCCCGCGGGTTCAAGACCCGCCTGGGCAACTTGGCGAGCCCTCATCTCTACAACAATCAAAAAATCAGCCGGGCGTGGTAGCGTGCGCCTGTAGTTCCAGCTACTCGGAAGGCCGAGGCGGAAGGGTCGCCGGAGCCCAGCAGGGCGAGGCTGCGGTGGCCGGGAGCGGCCACTGCACTCCAGTCTGGGTGACAGAGTGAGACTCCGACTCAAAAAAAAAAAAAAAAGAATTCCTATCTCTGGGCTAGGAGCGGTCCCTGCCCCTCTAGTCTGCGACTGGGGACTGAGCAGGGAGCGGGACGGGTTCTGGAAGGGATAGCCAGGCAGGACACTTCGGTTACGGAGTGGAAGCCCCTCCTGGGGCAACACCCCAGAGGTGCTGATTGGGACTCAGATCACATTTTGGGGGCCCCATTCTGGCACCCAGCGTGGACCGGGGGACGTGGGGGGCAGAGGGGCATCACCCTCAGTGGGGAGGGTACCTGTGGGGGGGAAAGCCACAGCCCGTGCTGCATCCCCCACCCCTATCTCCCAGGGTGGGGGCTGGAGGAGCCAGGCATGCGGCCCGGCCTGATGGGCTTCCCTCCCCAGACTCCACAGGCAAGTACTGGACGGTGGGCAGTGACTCCGCAGTCACCAGCAGCAGCGACACGCCCGTGGACTTCTTCTTCGAGTTCTGCGACTACAACAAGGTGGCCATCAAGGTGGGCGGGCACTATCTGAAGGGTGACCACGCAGGCGTCCTGAAGGCCTCGGCCGAGGCCATCGACCCTGCCTCGCTCTGGGAGTACTAAGCCCCTCCCCGCCTGCCCGGGCTCTCCAGACCCTCCGCTCACTCCCTCCCTGGGGGCTCCGGCGGGAGGCGGGCCCCTTGCCTTTCAAACTGGAAACCCCAGAGAAAACAGCGCCCCACCTGTTGCCCCTGCGGACGCCCTCCCCCGCCCAGGACCCATTGCCCCAGGCCCGCAGGGGACCTGCTCCCCGGGGGGGTCTCCCACCCCGCTGCCCTCTTCTCTGCCAGGGGGCGAGGCTGGCACCTCTTCTGACCTCAGACGACTCTGAGCCTTATTTCCCTGGGGCAGTCGAGCAGGAAGGGTGGGGGTATAACTGGAATCTCCTGCCCCCTCCCGACCACCTCTCCCCGTCCCAGGAGCCGGCCTTGCCCCGGGCCTGTCTGGGCTCCTCCTCGGTGCGCCGTCCAGCACCCTGCGTCTGGAGGGCAGCCGTCGGTTGGCACTGGCCCGCAGTGTTCTCTGGGTGGTGCTGGAGGGAAGCCCCCGTTCGCTGCTCGGAGCGGCTGGCATGACGGCCACAGGGTCTGCCCCCAGGGAGGGGGGCCGAGGGGTCACCCTGCTCCTGTCTCTTTCCTTTCACCCTGGCCCGACTGGAAGCAGAAAATGACCAAATCAGTATTTTTTTTAACGAAACGTCGTTGCTGGAGGCGTCCCAG